GTGCTGAGAACTGCAATTCTCATCAGTCCCACTTGGCACGGCCAGTGGTCAGGGAAGATGGGAGTTGTAGCCCAAATCGTTTTGAGAGCACCATGTTGGTTACTCATTTTAGTTTGCTGTTCTGGTTTGGAGCACAAATGATAATTTGTCACTTCGGATGTAACAACATGTCATTGGTTTGCTGTAAAAGGGAGGAAATTGGAGTTTGTGGAGGTGTGTGTGTGTGTGTGTGTGTGTGTGTGTGTGGAAATTATGCATGCCAAAATCTAACCCTAACACACATAACGCCAAACTGAGTCAAAGTGTTTTGGGTGATTGCCAAAGATTGCTGAAAACTTGGACAAAACATGATGGCACCAGTATTTATAGTAAAGAACTCAAGTCACATGGGAAACAGAACTGTTCAGTCTATACAAGGAAAGTCACATGCTAATCGTTAGGATTTGGCTAGAGGTGATGTTAATGGAAGCTTCCCTCCTGGGGCTGCTGATAGTAGCTCAGAATGGAATGTGTATGCACTTCCATTTACCCTACAATAACTAGAAATGCTAGTTGCATCCTTCCAATTAGTGTCACATCTATTGTGGTTCTTTTATGTTTCTGATATTTATTTGCCGTGCATGACAGTAGGATGCCATTGGTTGCCTTTGGGCCCCTCTTAGGCACATTTGAAAGTATCTGTATTGTGACTGTGTAGATTTGGTGGCTTACATATTGTGCCCACACATGGGAATACCAGTGAAAACACGACTTCCACATGGCAAGTCTCATGTATTTAGTGTTTTTATGTTACATATTGCCCATATTAATTCCCTAGAGCTTCGGATGAAGGATGGTATATAAATTTAATAAATCAGCATCATCATATGGCCAATGCCTGTGCCTGCTCTTAAATTACATGCATCCTGCTTGCAGAATAACTGAATAACTGCTGTTTTTGTTTTATGAGCACACTGACAATAGAAAGCAACAATGGCCATTTAGTTGATTCTGTTCTGGATCTAATTACATCGAAATGCAGGCTCTGTCCCAGGATGCTTACTAACATTCTGATCCTTAAGCAGTCACTTGGGAGCAACTAGAATTTCTTTCCAACTCAATAGCTTTGGGTGTCTGGCTGATTCTTCCGCACAATTGCTCTAAATCAAGCTGGGGTTTGTCACATCCAGCACATATTGGAGAATTGTGCTTATGAACGACTACATCTGAGCTTGTCATTAAGGTGCGATGTAATTTTCATGCAGGGCTCATCCAAGGAAAAGTACAACCTCACACTGGCTGCTATGTCTTGAAATCACATGTCACCATGGAATGTGAATCTGGAGGGAGTGAATGAAATTACCTTTCAGCATTGCCTTGTAGGAAGGTACATAAAGGTTTTATTTTTTATTTTGTACTAGGCAGGGGTCAGCAATCTTTTTCAGCAGGGGGGCGGTCCACTGTCCCTCAGACCTTGTGGGGGGCCGGACTATATTTTGAAAAAAATGAATGATTTCCTATGCCCCACAAATAACCCAGAGATGCATTTTAAATAAAAGCACACATTCTACTCATGTAAAAACACCAAGCAGGCCCCACAAATAACCCAGAGATGCATTTTAAATAAAAGGCCACATTCTACTCATGTAAAAACACACTGATTCCCGGACTGTCTGTGGGCCGGATTTAGAAGGTGATTGGGTCGGATCCAGCCCCCGGGCCTTATTTTGCCTACCCATGTACTAGGGAATGTGTCCCTGCTCACTTTGTTCACCAAGCCCCATACCATTTTCCCCATTCCGACCCTATGTAGTGAGTGACTAAGCTCCCTCTTCACCTTCCCTACCCATTTCTGAAGCAATTTCTCCATTCTGTTCTGCAGCTCCACTTTGCACTCCTGTTTTCAAGGAAAGGGTTTTGGTCTAAATCAAAATAGACAATGTTTTCTCTCTGGAAGTAATTGAACTTGCTTTCTTGCATATTAACCATCACACAAATCCAATGAAGACTGAGCAGAGTACTTATCTATATGACAGGGCCATAGCTCAGTGGCAGAACATTTGCTTGCATGTGAAATATCTTAGGTTCAGTCATTGAGATCTCAGCTTAAAAAAGATCTTGGATTTTGGCTCAGCGAATCCTTGCCTGAGACTCTGGTCAGACTCAATGGTACTGAGCTAGATAGACTAAGGCTACAATTCTAAATATTCCTATTAGGAAGTAAGGCCCACTGAGCACAGCAGGGCTTAAAAGAAAACAAGTGTAGGATTGGGCTGCAGATTGCCTGACCTGGTATAAAGTGGCTTTGTATGTTTTGTAATCCATAGTCAGTGGATTAATTATAAACTGAAATTTGTTGAAATTGAGAAGAAAATGGTTCTGAATTATTCAAGGTACAGGTTCTGCTTGTTTACCGTCTGGTAATTCTTTGGTATGCAGAAGAAGTGGGGGAAGTTTAGAATTCAGTGATGGTGACCAAACTTCTCACAAGGGTTAGCCAGATGAAATCTGAATTTCTGGGAACAAATGCAAGAACTGAGCAAAGGAAAAAGAAAATAGTTGAGCTTTCGGAAGCTGTATTTTTAAAAAAAGATCCTGTGTGATGCTCTTGAATCAATACCAAATTACTCTGAAGCATTATTTGAACATAAATTAGAGGCTACTAGAAACCTAGATTAAGCAAGATACGGAGAAATTGTTTTAGTTAAGCCAGCTCCAATGGTTAGGGTAGGTACAATAAAGACAACTGTGAGATCATGATTTTTAAAATTTAGCTACAAGCTATTCCATTTCAAGCACCACCTAAAATTATCCAGGAGCAGGAAAATGTTATTGAAATGTAATGGGGAAGGGGGATGTAAGCAAATGTAATGAAATTCATCCTTTGGGTCTCAACAGGTAAAGTTTGTTTATAGGGAAACAGCTATGTCAGGAATGGTGGTATTGAAGAAAACATTTTCAAGAGAAATTATCTTTGGGTGGAATCCGAATTGGTGACAGGCTTTTGCTCCAACAGAGGTGTCTGTTAATCAGAGGGCAGGGATGGGATTTTTCCTGATGCATCCTTTCCCCCGAAGTTTCTAGCATACTCACCCCCCCCCCCAAATCAGCCCCTTGAAATCATTTGGGGGAAATGTTGAAAATATTGAAAATCGCCTCCCTCCCCCTTATGTTAATGGACACCTCTGTTGAATCAAAACTGGCATTGTAAGTGAAAGGACACCATTTGGATACCATTGTATACGAAAAGGTTAGTCAGTTGGTCATACTGTTTTTAAGTAGGTTGGAGCAGACATAGGATTGCTTCCCTTATTGATAAAGGCAACATTCCCTTAAAAAGGAATGTGAAACATGTTGGAAATAATGGCTTGTGGGTGTTATATACAACCAAGTTATACTCAAAGTAGTACCATTGAAATCAATGGATCTAAAGATTCACCCAAACGTCATTTGTCCCTTGCCTAAAAAGCAGGGGTCTGAGCAGTTTTCCATTTGCTCCACTGCTTTCTCTTGGGAAAACCCACTCTTTACTGCTGAATTGGAACAAACGTCTGCCCGGGGAGAACCCAATTGAGGTTTGCTCAGATTCAACAGTAAAGAGTAGGTTTTCCTGGGGGAAAGCAGTGGGTCAAGTAGAAATGTGCGTTCACACTATACTTTTAAAGCATATTAGAAGCACATTTCCCCCCCTCAAAGAATTCTGGAAACCCCTCACAGAGTTATAATTCTCAGAAACCCTTCACAAACTACAGTGTCCAGAATTCTTTGAGGGGGAAAAAAGTGCTTTAAAGGTATCATGTGTATGCAGCCCATCACTGAATATCACTCACTGTGTTCTCTTATGCAACTGCAATAGCTGCTTCCTTTTCGGTACCTGTTTTTGCCTCTCTTAAGATTTCCTTTGTCCTTTCCAATCTTGATTTGGTTTACTTAGAATAGCTGTTTTCCTAGAGGCTACATGAGTGTGGGCAGAAGAGATGAAAGATCATCTCTGAGTATGGAGCTTGCTGGAAAAGGTTGCTAAGAGATTTCTGGATGGAAAGAACAATCCGCTTTGGGGGCTGCAAGATATGCTGTTCCTCTGCTGGGCAGGGGGCAGGGACAGCAAGAAGGACTCTTGCTTCATTGAATAGTATTGTCATTCACATCTGCTCTGCCTGTACATTTGTAAATAAACAGTTTATTATGTAAAGGCACCCAAAGCGCCCCTCCCTCTCCTCCCTTGGAGCCACCTGTTGCTTAGGAAAGTGCAAAACAATATTGATCACTTCATAATGGTGTAATCTGATGTGTTAATGGAATGAAAGCAGTTAGATTGATGGGAGTAATGTCATTAGGGGTGATTTCTCCTCTTCACTGGGTGAGAGAATGAAAAAAAGGCATTGGAAAAAGAGGCATGGATAGATGTATATGCAGTGCTTAGAACAGGCTTCCTCAACCTTGTCCCTCCATATGTTTTTGGCCTAAACTCCCATGATCCTTAACTAGAAGGACCAGTGGTCAGAGATGATGGGAATTGTAGTCTCAAAACATCTGGATGATGGGAATTGTAGTCTCAAAACATCTGAGGGAGCCTGGCTTAGAAAGTTTGTTTTTTCAAAAAGAATTCAGTCCAGGTTCAGTTCACCCCTTCCAAAAAGACATTACTCTAGTTCCAATTCAAGTTTTCCCCCTCCAAAAAGGAACCAATAATATTCTGGTTCAGTTCATTTTTCCATTCACTGTGCATTTCCGCCCCCGCCCCCCAAGCCTTCAGAATCTTACAAGCTGCTTTGCTGAAGTATGAAATATGCATAAGAAGATTAAGAAAACATCAGAGCATACACATGATGTACAGTGGTGCCCCGCAAGACGAACGCCTCGCAAGACGAAAAACCCGCTAGACGAAAGGGTTTTCCGTTTTGGAGGCGCTTCGCAAAACGAATTTCCCTATGGGCTTGCTTCGCAAGACGAAAGCCCATAGGGAAATCTCCGGTCCGCGAAGCCTGGGCGCGCTGATCTCAGCGCGCGCAGGCTTCGGCATGCCGGCAACTCTCCGCGAGCAGCGGCAGCGCTGCCGCTGCTCGCGGAGAGGTCCGCGAAGCCTGGGCGCGCTGATCTCAGCGCGCGCAGGCTTCGGCAAGCCGGCAACTCTCCGCGAGCAGCGGCAGCGCTGCCGCTGCTCGCGGAGAGGTCCGCGAAGCCTGGGCCCGCTGAACTCCGCGCGCGCCGGCTTCGGCATGCCGGCACCGCTCCGCGAGCAGCGGCAGCGCGGCCGCTGCTCGCGGAGAGGTCCGCGAAGCCTGGGCGCGCTGATCTCAGCGCGCCCAGGCTCGGCATGCCGGCAACTCTCCGCGAGCAGCGGCAGCGCTGCCGCTGCTCGCGGAGAGATCCGCGAAGCCTGGGCGCGCTGATCTCAGCGCGCCCAGGCTTCGGCATGCCGGCAACTCTCCGCGAGCAGCGGCAGCGCTGCCGCTGCTCGCGGAGAGGTCCGCGAGAGCCTGGGCGCGCTGATCTCAGCGCGCGCAGGCTCCGGCATGCCGGCAACTCTCCGCGAGCAGCGGCAGCGCTGCCGCTGCTCGCGGAGAGGTCCGCGAAGCCTGGGCGCGCTGATCTCAGCGCGCCCAGGCTTCGGCATGCCGGCAACTCTCCGCGAGCAGCGGCAGCGCTGCCGCTGCTCGCGGAGAGGTCCGCGAAGCCTGGGCGCGCTGATCTCAGCGCGCCCAGGCTTCGGCATGCCGGCAACTCTCCGCGAGCAGCGGCAGCGCTGCCGCTGCTCGCGGAGAGGTCCGCGAAGCCTGGGCGCGCTGATCTCAGCGCGCCCAGGCTTCGGCATGCCGGCAACTCTCCGCGAGCAGCGGCAGCGCTGCCGCTGCTCGCGGAGAGGTCCGCGAAGCCTGGGCGCGCTGATCTCAGCGCGCGCAGGCTTCGGCATGCCGGCAACTCTCCGCGAGCAGCGGCAGCGCTGCCGCTGCTCGCGGAGAGGTCCGCGAAGCCTGGGCGCGCTGATCTCAGCGCGCCCAGGCTTCGGCATGCCGGCAACTCTCCGCGAGCAGCGGCAGCGCTGCCGCTGCTCGCGGAGAGGTCCGCGAAGCCTGGGCGCGCTGATCTCAGCGCGCGCAGGCTTCGGCATGCCGGCAACTCTCCGCGAGCAGCGGCAGCGCTGCCGCTGCTCGCGGAGAGGTCCGCGAAGCCTGGGCGCGCTGATCTCAGCGCGCGCAGGCTTCGGCCTGCCGGCAACTCTCCGCAAGCAGCGGCCGTGCTGCCGCTGCGTGCGGAGAGGTCCGCGAAGCCTTGGCTGGACAGCTTTTGAAGGCAGGTGGGGGGACAAAGACTTTCGCCCCCGCCAACCTTCAGAAGAGGTCCAGGACCTCTTCTGAAGGCTGGCGGGGGCAAAGTCTTTGTCCCCCTGCCTGCCTTCCCAGGGGCTTTAAATTGCCCCGGACAGCGGAGAAGTCCTCCGCTGTCCCGGGGCAATTTTAAAATGCCGCCCGCCAGCATTTTAAGATCGCCCCGGACAGCGGAGAAGCCCTCCGCGGTCCCGGGGTTTTTTAAATTGCTGGGGGTGGGAAGAAAAGCCCTGGTCCCCCCCAGCCTTCAGAAGAGGTCGGGGGACAGACTGTCCCCGGACCTGGTCTGAAGTCGGTTTCCTAGGAACGCATTAATTGATTTTCAATGCATTCCTATGGGAAACCGTGCATCGCAAGACGAAAAACTCGCAAGAAGAAAAAACTTGCGGAACGAATTAATTTCGTCTTGCGAGGCACCACTGTATTGTTAACAATTCTTTCATTTATTTTTCTCAGCAATTATAATTTTTAAGTTGGAATATCAATCAGCATCACTTTTCAGATAAGTAAATGCAACAGCTCCAATCAAAGTTTAGTGAGTTGAAACCCTTATACACTGTATATATAAATTATTGAATTAAAATTGAATTGAATTAAACAATCATCCAAAGTTCTGCTATAAAAGCAACTTAAATTCATATTCAGTTCACCTGGAAATTATAGGAACTACTTTCAGGTGTAATTCAGAGATTGTTTAATTAATTTGGTGTGTTTGTTTATCTGAAATAGTTTATTCCAATATCTGTGTATATGTGTTGTGATTCGGATTTGCTTTTCTTATGGGTGCCTCCCTACCCACATTGCAACTATGTCTTCCTTTAGGGGGGAAAAACCTTCTGCCCTTATGCGGCTCCCAGTGGTTTCCCATCCAAGCTAAACACAAGTTTAGCTTGCTCAAGTATTGGTTCCTTCCCCTCCACACACCGGAGCCTACAACTGTGTCTGTCTGTCAAAGTCCAATCACTTAGGTAGATGGATGTTTGGTGGAAAAACTCATAGAATCATAGAGTTTGAAGGGTTCCTGGGGGTCATCTAGTCCAACCCCCTGCAACGCAGGAATCTTGCCCACAGCCATCCCTTGGTGGGCTCGAACTACCAGCCTTCTGACCACTGAGCCACTGCACCACAGGTGCTTTCAGATTACCTGTTTATTGAGCATTCATCATAATTTGCTTGTGGGGAGGCTAGATGACATTATATCTAAGCAAATGTCATTTCACACTTTCCACAGTGAATATTTCTCTTACTTTCCTTAATACAAAATGTCTGATCTTTTGCTGGTATGTGATTGATTCCCAGTCTACAGGTGCCTTTTGTCTTTCAGGGAGTGAACCCACAGGTGCCTATCCTTATAGCTGTCTCTTTCCCTTTACCTAGCCTTTACAGGTGTGGCCAAACTTGGCCCTCCAGCTGTTTTGGGACTACAATTCTCATCATCCCTGACCACTGGTCCTGTTAGCTAGTCCCAAAACAGCTGGAGGGCCAAGTTTGGCCATGCCTGCTTTAGGAAGAGATGCTGGGCAGGATCTGGAAAGGCAGGACTGGCAGACTGCATCTGCCCCCATGCCCTTGCTCCCTATTGCAAGTTCTGGTTTGGGGAGCATGAAGTACTTTTTATATTTATTAGATTTGCAGCCAACAAAAGTCTGTGGGGCTCTGAACAAGTTATAGCAGTTTTTATATAAACATCCTCCCTCCCTGGGAGGTAATCTAAGCAATTTTTATTTGAGCGTAAAAAGCAGCTAAATAACTTTAAATTTAAGAGAAACAAACATTAAAAGTGACTAAGAGATTAATTCCACTCATGTTTCCTTGGAAGCAATTCCTATGGTGTTCAAGTGGGCCTTACTTCCCAGTAAGGCAGTTAGGATCTGCTGTTGAAGTAGCTTATTTCTGTCCAGCACTTTACTAGGCTGCTGTCAGGTACTCTTGCTTCCCTGTTCAGGGCCAGAAAAGCTATACATTGATGAGGAAGGTCAGTCCTGGTTCTAGCTGGAGACCTTCAAGCCTACAGGAAGGCAGATCTGGCTGGGGCCAGGGCCAGGCTCTGCCTATAACAGCAAAATGTTAACTCAGCCACAGTTATTTGTAGACATTCCATTCTCCAGTAGCACTGCCTAGAAATCCACACGTAACATAAAAAGGAAACAGTTAAATGGCAAACATGGATTAAATGCACATGTTCACTCTGGAAGAAGTAGTACTGTACCTGTACCACTTTTTCATCTTTGCTACATTTTCCAGCTGGATTTTGCCTTTACCAGTGGAAAGAGTTAAAACGTTGCAGCATTTTTTTATGAAAACCCCAGCAAAGTATAAATGATGTAATGCCTCTATGTGTTCCGTTAGAAGGAAATGGGGAAGGGTCCATTATCTTCTGGAGCATATATACATTAAAGAAAAATAGTTAAGTGTAGCTCAAAAATGTTAATTGAGAAGGACGGATTATATTACTTGTTTGTACAAGCATACATGGCCTATAAGTGGAGGTGGATATTTTGTTGTTTATTTATAAAAGTATTTGTATATTGTCCTATCGTAAAATAGCAGGGTGCTGTAGAGCAATATAAAAGAATAAAAAACAATTAAAAGCATTGCAGGGCATCATTGAAGGGACTGGCTACTCGAGAAACTATGTAGGCTTGTTGGCTTAAATAATTCTTCAAGAGATGCCTGAAAGTTAAAAGTGGGATTCCTGTTGAATCTCTTCTGGAAGAGTGCTCCACAGTTTGAGACTGGCAAATGCTAAATGCCCAACTTCTGGCTGAGGCTGTTGTCTACAAATGGACATACCTTATGAAAAGCAATAGAAGCTAATAGTTTGCATGTCTGTGATATCTGTTCTTTTTCAGGATGCAACAGTGTAAATAATAGTCCTGGGAACAGACTATTCTCCAGGTGCTTTGGGAGATAAACTTGGGGGAATTTGTTACACCATAATGGCGCCGCCACTATGATGTTCTATGATGTTCCCTAAGAATAACAATGACATATTGATACAACTACGCTATTTTTTCAAATTGAGCATATTCTTTTCTGGGTTCTTGTATCACCTTGTTGTCCACAGCAAACAAAATGAGGTTTTTTTATGGCTATTCATGACTTATTAGAGTAGGAGTAGCCAACAAGATCCCCTCCATATGTTGACAAACCTCAGCTCCTCTTGGCCCCCAATCTGGGTGACTGATGGTCAGGCATAATGGGAGTTGTAGTCCAACATCAGGTAAGCTACTATTGCATTAGGCTATCTTTTTTAAAGGGACGCAGGTGGCGCTGTGGGTTAAACCGCAGAGCCTAGGACTTGCCAATCAGAAGGTCGGCGGTTCAAATCCCCATGATAGGGTGAGCTCCCGTTGCTCGGTCCCTGCTCCTGCCAACCTAGCAGTTCGAAAGCATGTCAAAGTGCAAGTAGATAAATAGGTACTGCTCCAGCGGGAAGGTAAACGGCATTTCCGTGTGCTGCTCTGGTTCGCCAGAAGCGGCTTAGTCATGCTGGCCACATGACCCGGAAGCTGTACGCCGGCTCCCTCGGCCAATAAAGCGAGATGAGCGCCGCAACCCCAGAGTTGGTCACGACTGGACCTAATGGTCAGGGGTCCCTTTACCTTTATCTTTTTTTTTAAAAATCTAAGAACCACTGAGAAAGATTCCAGAAGCTACATATGGCAGCTTGGTGGGGCTTACTTACATGCCTACTTGCTACTATTTTTTCCACCTATAATGAAGCAGTTTATTGCACAAGGCATCATCTCACTCTTGTGAGCTCTAATCCAATATGAAAGGCTTCCCTGCAGCTTACTTGCCTTTTGAAACCATGACAAACATCAAACCACCTTTTTGTGGAAAACAAAAGACCGCTGCTGTTTCATGCTGTGTGAAGTTAAGTGGTATATATAAATTTAAGTACTTCTGAAAATGAAGTTGGGTTGCAGGGTGAGGGAAGGGATCATTGCCTCTTTTCCCAGATTGCAAGAGACAGAAAAGTGGAAATACATATTAGCAGTACTAACTAACATGAAATTTGGCCCCAACTTCCTACAAATCCTCAAACAAATATACTCCCAAGCCTCAGCAAAATGCAGAACTAACAATATGGATTCTAACACTATAGCTATCCAAAGAGGCACGAAACAAGGATGCCCACTGTCTCCCTTCTTATTTATCCTGGCTCTGGAACCCCTAGCAATCTGCATCCGAGCAGCCACAGACATCAAGGGAGTGGAAATAAAAGGCAGAACCTATAAATTAGGGCTCTTTGCAGATGACCTAATGGTCACAACACCAGACCCCATAAGCACAGCAACCTCCCTAATCAGAGAACTCAACACATTTGCAATGGTGTAGGGCCTACAGGTAAATTTTACAAAGTCAGAATCTATGTGCTTCAACTCCCCCCCCTCACACCCAAAAAGAACTCACGAAGGTCACCAAAATAAAACTTTGCCACACCAAGTTCAGATACCTAGGGGTACAAATAACCAGAAACCTCAATAAATTGTACCTCCACAACTACAAGCCCCTGTGGCGACAAATTAACAAAGACCTAAAGAGATGGAATAACATGAACTTCACTCTCTCAGACAAAATAGCCATGATCAAAATGATCACACTCCCAAAACTAACCTACCTATTCCAAACCCTCCCAATCTGGATCCCCTCAACCCAACTTCGCAGTTGGCAGAGAAAACTACACTCTTTCATCTTCTCACATAAAAACCAAGAATAAGCCCCAAATACCTGCACCTCCCCACCTCAGAAGGAGGATGGGGAATCCCCAACATAG